TTTTTTTTTTTTTCCAGGATTACTAGATTCATAAAAAGTTCAAAATACAATTATGTAACAATGTACATTATGTAATAATGTCACTTTTGATCTATGTAAAGATTCTTAGTTTAATATTGACACCAAACTTTTGAACGGTAGCGTAAGTCAGTGGGACATTTCTGAATTTTAAATTAATTATTTGTATTTTTTATTTTAACAAAAACATCACTTAAATTTGAAATGATCTACAAGCCAAAGTTTTAAATGTAGTCTGTATGATAAATGGTTTGCACTTAATTGTAGAAAATTAAGAAGCATAAGAAGAACTTAACTCGAACTCATCTTGCAAACACTGTAAAAAAAAAAATACTGAAACAATGCCTGTTTTAAGAAGAGCTCAAAATTCTGAAAAGTGAATTTGATAAGTAAATCATTACATCCTATTAAGATAATATAGTGCATCCAGGGTTTTTGTGTCACAGTACATAAATAGTTTAAAATGATTAATTGTTAATCAACATCCACTCTGAAATGGTGAAAGTATTAAGAATCCAAGAGGGACAAACAGAAAAACAGGAAGGACCTCGTCCTCTCGCTCCTTATTGTCTCATAATCCAGATAAGCTCAGTCTGAGAGCAGCTGCTGCCTCCCTGATATCTATTTCATTTCTTCCACGGTCTCTCAAATGAAGACAAGCCACCAGAGCATCAGCGTCAGGACCAGCAGGCTGCTCAGCAGGAGGGAGACGCGGGGGCGATGCAGTACTACTGGGTACAGCTGGCAGACACGGGCCGGTTCCTCTGTGGACACGACTATGGAGACCTGGACGCCATGTCCCTGAGCCTCAAAGTCTTTTTCTTCATTGCAATCATCATCATCATCTTCATCCTTCTCCATATGCTGCAGCAGCGGCGGGCCTCCTGGTGCGGGCGCCCACCTGACCCTTACCTGCTGTCGCCTGGACGTGCCTGCTGCACGCTTCCATCTCTGCGCAGAGCAACGGGACACCAAGAGAGACACAGAACAATGAACAGACATGTGGAGTGGGAAGAGACATGGGGAGAGATTGATGAGGGGTAGTGGAGATTTCTGGGTGGGTCTGAAGGGTCCAGGCTCAGGATCTGAGCTTAGAGATTAAGCGGGCCAGATGGATTGAAGCAAAGGCCTTATGGGTTTTTATGGTGTTGATGGACACTGGATTGATATTAAGATTGGCAGCAGACATTGTTTTGGCAGTGTAAATATCCGTCAGTGACAGAAAAACACCATAAAAACCGGCAGGGTTCGGGTGGGATGGGCCACTAAGCGAAATCCTCAGTGGATCAGATCAGTGGATGTGTCTGTCACAGAACTA